ATTACAGGTATTCTAACCCAATCGTTAGTAACAGTTGCCATAATACGAATATTACATAGGTGATTATCCAAATTTTCGCCGTCGATGAAATTTGAACATTCAACCTATCACTTGGAAGGTTGACAACCTGACCACTTCACTAGGTTGCCACACTCCTTCCTTAAATATATAACACTGATACACTTAAATGATTAAATATAAAAAAGTAATTTTTTTTTAGTTAATGAATCATAATGTTGTAAAATAATTTTATTTTATTTTAATTGTTTTATTTTACCATCTAGTATATTTTACAAATTTCTAAAATTATTTTTGTATAATAATTTAAGTATAGTAAAATTAGGCTGTATATTATAAATTCATTAACTTAATAAAATAGATGTATTTTTTTAAAAAAAAAAATCTCTTTTTTAGTTTTAAATTGTCATATATCAATAATAAATTCTTGTATTTTTTATTTAAGTTTTAATTTATTAGTTATAGTTTCAACATTATAATTGTATTTAACTGAGGCATCTATACAAAGTGTAATGTTATACATATATAGAGGAATATGAAAAACCAGTGTCAGATAAGGCTTTGGTGCAAACTCATGATAAGACCACCAGGCATAGAAGGCTAAAAAATGAGGAGATGGAAGCCCACTTAGAAATCACAAGTAAAAAGATAGCACAAACTTTCAATGATGCTATTGGTCCAATGAAAGCCTATAAAACACCTTTATAGGAATTGTCAGATAACTCGGATGACAAGATATATAGAGGAGCACATGACCAACCAGGCTGCTGAAATCGCTAAAGAAAAAGGATACTTAAGTATACTATATCAGGCCATCTGAATTGAAAGTCTGAAGAAGTCCATTGTTGGTTCTAAGTTGCAGCTAGTAGGAGATAATAAAGAAGAAGTCAGAAAGATAGGTACTAGGGTTTGAGTAAACTTTACAAAAGTAATAGCAGTTTAAGAGATAATACTAACTGCAAGTGTTGGCCTCGACTATGGCATCAAACCAGATTAGCAATAAAAGAAAATATAGTTCACTTTGATAGGTTTATCTCGAAGATAAAAATAGTCTAAGGATTATAGTCCTATAGTTAAAAGTGAATAGATCTGGATCTGTGATCTGGTAAAATTAATACTAGGATCAGGTTAGAGGATTTAAATAGAACATCTAAGCAGGAGTGTTAAGTACAGCAACTGGTAGTAAATCTTCAGATAGATTTCTTAAATAAATAATATAGAAAAGTTACATATGTAGCCAGTTATATACTCATCTGATAGTTTATTATGAATACATTTATATAAAACATGTACTCAATATAAGTATTAATAAAAAGCTATAACTGAAGAGGTTACCTTAATACCAAAAAAAAAATAATTGCATTCAACTTTTTTATATTAATTCTTAAGTATATTAATCTATTTTTTAATAGTTTTTATAATATTTTCTAGAATCTGTAGTTTTGTAATTTAATTTAATTTTTTAGTTGATAACAAGTAACTTTTTTTTGATGTTAAGATGATCTTTTTGGTTTTTTGACTTTTATTAATGACTTTTTTGGTAATATAATTCTATGAACTACTATAATTAGTTACATATATAACTTTTCTATATTACCTATTTAAAAAGTCTACTTGAAGGTTTTTTATTAATTGTCATATCTAACATCTCTGTTCAGATGTTTTATTTTAAATTCTTTGAACCTGTAATCTGTGTTAACTCACTAGGTCATACTCAGATGTCTAAATTATTATTTTAATCTTAGAACTATTTTATTTTTAAGGTAAATCTTCCAGAATCTTCTGTATTTATTTTTACAACTGATCTAAATATTATTATGATAAAACTAATACTTGCAGTTATAATTATATTATTTAACTATTATGCTCTTATAAAGTTTATACAAATTCCAAAATCTATTTTATAATATAACTAATATTTTAGTATATTTCTATTTTTTGTTTAGCCTTTTGTTCTGATTTTTAATCCAGATAAACTGTATAAAACTATGATTAGTCTATTGATATATTAGATTAACCTAATATTTTTTTTTTTAGTTTGTTCTAACAACCTGGTTAGTGATATCTCTAAGACTTCTAAACCAGAAGTTTTTACTTATTCAAATATTATGACTAAGTACTACAACCTTAATATATATTTCTTTAAACTAATCTTTATAGTAAAACTGTCAAAGATCTGATTACTTCTCTATTTAGATCTTCTTAAATAAATTTCTTATTATTTAATTTTAATAAATTTACATAATCATAAAAATTTATCTAATGTTTATACTACCTAATTTGTCAGTTTGTATTCTTTTATATAACTAATTATACAAATATCTTATAACCTGTTAGTCATGCTAATGTAACTGTCATTACAAATATTCTAACCTAATTATTAGTAACAATTGCTATAATATGAATATTATATAAGTGATGATTTAAATTTTTATCATTAATAAAATTTGAACATCCAATCTACCACTTGAAGAGTTGACAATTTGATCACTTTACTAAGTCACCACATCTCAAAATAACTTTTCTAAAAAGAATTTTTATGTTATATAAGATATAAAATCCTAAAAGTATAGTTAATAAGCTTTTTAATTTAATTTATTTTATAAAATATGATGTATTAAAAATGACAATATGGCCTATATAATATTTGTATTTTAATAAAAATTTTGAATATTGCATCAAAATTTGATACTACATAATAAAATCAAGAGACCATGATACATCTATTTCATTCATAGGATACTTTTGACCTACTAATTCTCTGTAGAATTCATATAATTCTTAAGGTGTAAGCACTATCTTCATAGTATCTCTGATAATTTTATATTTGTAAACAAAAACAATAAACAATAATGCATTTTATTATTAAAACTTAAATCATAACAAAGATAAACACACCTTCACTTTCCATACACTAGCTAATACTCGAATAAGGTTTCTTATTTCTTTAACTGTGTTTGAAACCTCAAGAAGCTTATCCCGTTTTAGTATTATTACGTATCCCTTGGGACTACTTATTTGTAAAACTTGTGATTTAAGACCTATAATTCAAAAAAACTCAAATATAAAATATTATATATATATTGGATTCATTGAATTTCTCCTTTTTACCTACCTAAGTGAAACATGCCTGGGATAAGCAACTTCCTTACTATGGTTTCCCGATTATCAATCCTTTAACATAAGCATACGAAAATATCATGCATGGCTTTACTGAGCTTAAATCCATCACCCAGGAATTTGGTTTGCTCATATTTTTTGGCTACTTCGATTGCTTCATACTCAATATTATTTATATAAGTTCGGAATATTCCATCCATCTTATACCCCATCTTCTTACGTAGAACCTTCCTGTAACGTATGCACGCTCTCTTTTGATTTTTTCTTTCAGATACCGCTTCACTCGTTGACTCCTTTCTATAAAAAAAATTAGTTAAATAATTTATCTGAATAATTATGAGGGCGAAGCTATATTATATACATAAATACCTTACTACTTCCATTCCAAATATATCGGAAAACCATGATCAACAATTTGCGACCACAAATTAATATCATACCAAGACTCGAGATGCGTTCTTTTTAATGGTTCATTAGGATCTTCGTAATACGTAAGACTTTTGTAATAAATGAGTACATGCATAAATATCATTAAAACAATCACGATAATCTTTCCAATATAAAGTAGATGCTTACAATTTTCTCATTACGATTTCTGCCCATTCAGCATCGAAATGATCCTCCTGACTGTAAGAATCATTTTTTAAAAAAGTTGTTGTTGCCAAGACCTCCCTTAGTTCACGCGTTGTTCTGATCTATAATTGAAATTATCATTAGGAGTACAAATAAATTAAAAATTGTTATACTATTCTTACATCGGAAAATCGCATCATAGACTTTACAAACGTTTCATTCACTTCAGGTAATTGAACTTCGTGTCGTATTTCATTCCACTCTTCTGTGGTAAATAGTTCCTCTGCCTCTTGGTCATCAAGGTCAATAATCCATGAATGTAAGAGCGATTCATTTGTCAGTTCTTTGCAGTGTTCGAAAATAGTATTTTCAACGTACTTTCCAGATGTGAGAAACCACTTATGAGTTTTACTCATATTTGTGAAGCATTTATGAAATCTTTGAGTTGTGATGGTATTAATGGCAGTGGATGGTTCTTATCTTCAATATCGCTATATTGCAAGAAAATGTTGCTGTAAGCATAGGAATAAATTTTAGTAAATTTCAATAAAAAAACAAGTACCTCGGTATGTAATCTGTGTCATCACTGCCATCAAATACAGAGATGGAATCCTGCAATTTAGAAAAGAGCCATGTCAATTAAGTCTTAACAATAATCAAATAATTCATTAAAGTGCAAATACTACCTCATCATCGTCTGTTTCATTTTGTTCTTCTATTTCCGATAATTGTTCTTTCTGAATGGTTGTTAAATAAATTTAAATACAAGTAAAGCAAGGATTCGACTAATTATTGATATTACTTCTTCTGTTTGCTGTGGAAATGTGTTCTCGAATTTCCGCTTGAGGGAATTCAAGATTACTTTTTTTTTTCGGTACGTGTAACTTCCAAAATTTCTATGGCTTCAATCTCTGTATTGTTGCAGGCTAGATCCTAGAGTTTTCGATAAAATGTTAGAACATATAACCAATGCTATATTATAACACATACAGTATTACACATAAGGATCATACACACTGTCTTGTTTTTCACCTCACGTTTTCCACATAAGCACTCTTTCTCTTTTTCAATGTTGTCCCAAAAGAAGTCTGTATTTCGTGGGTCCTAAAAATGGAATACGTAGATCGAACTAATAATTTGGTCTATGCGAACCACAAATCATTAAAACTCACAGTCATGCGTCATATGAGGGAACGGAACCGTCAAGCCTCAGGAGGGAGCATAACCGTCCTTTGGTTATATGACACCAACAGTAACTACACGGAGGGGGCGGAACCGTCATACCTCAGGAGGGAGCGTAACCGTCCTTTGGCTGTGTAGAACTATCCTGACTGTCATAAAAAAATATATACTAAATACCTTTTCTATCAAAATAATTGCCTTTTTTCTCTGCTGTTCAGTATACGCGTCGTCATCTGCAATCGTTTCTAAGCGCTTTATAAATCTCTTCCTCCATGTAGCTTTTTCATCTCGTTTTGTGATATCTAATACAGACAGAATAACGTGTTTAAATGACTCTAAAAAAAGAATATATGACCATTCTTCGACGGGCGTTTCATCGAAAAAGTCTCTGATTGCTCTATGTATAAATTGTAAATCTGACATTTTCTGAAATTACAAATGATCATCTGGTTATCGTTATCATAAATTTAACAAATCACATGATCTGGTTTTGGCGACGGCCGAAAATAATCACCCATATATGGTGGAAACCGAAATTTTACAAAGTATATAAGGAATAGAGACATATAAGGTGAAGTGGATATTATGGCGCACTTAAGAGAAAAAATGTATTTATTCTTGAAATAGATTATTCATCTAACGCTAATAAAAAAAAACCGACTTTAAAAAAAAAAAGTTTGCAATATAAACTTTCATTAATTTGGAGTGTATTATGGCGCATATTGAATTAATGTCGAATTACAGTATTACCAGGTTTGGCATGGACCGGTCAATGGTCAAGCTTGACCAGACCAGTTTGACCAATTTGACCAGTTGGTAGTATTGGTCAAATTGGTCAAATAATATATAAAGTATAAATATATTTGTTTATTTATTTTGTATATTAAAAAATTATTTATTTAATAGCCTAGACCATTTGACCAATTTGATCAGTTCGACCAACAAATTTTTGGTCGACCAGTGATTTGACCAACCCTGAGTATTACATATACATTATAGCATAACGATAACATCACTACACATGATCAACGTGATCATTTCTTCTTTTTTTATGTAACGTTCTTTTTTTCGCTCATTTTCAGCTCTTTTTCTTTATTTTTTTTGCTTTTTCAGTTTTACTTTTTGCTAACTCATCCATTTCTTTTAGAGCATTTAGAGATTTTTCATTAGTAAGAAGTCAAGCAAACAGCAAAGTTTTTCATTTTTTTGACTGATTGGACTTCTTCTTATCACCTTGTATTGGAACACAGAAAGTGGAATACTTAAGAACTAGTTTTAATAACAGATATTGGGATTTTTATGTTTCAAGTTTCTTTTTTAGTAACATATTTTCTTTTTTTAGAGTATGGATTTCTGTTTTTAATAGTTTATTCTCTTTAGTAACATTAGTTTGTATAAAATAATTTGAAGATGATGTAGAAAAAGAAGATAAAAGTAAAATATTGGTTTGCTCAGCAGATAAAAAGAGATCAAGATAACAAAAATTAATAACATTAAAATTAAAAGGTCAAATTCTTATAGACCTGAAAGAGTTATTTATTATAGCAGGAATGTAAATCTTTATAAATATAAGGTTAAGCATTTTAGAAAACATATGTTTAGTTATTAACTTGTTAGTTATATAATAAAGTTAATCTGATCTAACTCTCCTTATAGATCATTAAAACTAACTTTTCTTTAACAAACAATTTAACTTTTCTCAATATTTTACTAAATTAACAATTTTTAAACTTCTAATTAAACTTTTTTCTTACAAATTTCTATCTTAAAAACAATACAAATTTATTTATATTTAATTTTTTAATACAATAAATTTTTATATTTTAATAAAATTATCTTTATTTATATTTTTTTAAATTTTTTCAATTTATACTTAATTAAACTCTTTTACTTCCAAGTAAACTAAGTATACTAAACTTTTTGCTTCCAACTATACTAATTTTACTAAATTTTAATTATTATATTATGTATTAACTAATATTTTTTAAAAAATATACATTTTTTTAATTTCTACTAAATTTTACTAAATAATCTTATTCTTTCTTATTAAACAAAAATATCTAGTTCATTGAGATGATTATTTCAACATAAATTTTATCTTTAATAGACCAAAACTTATTAAGTTATTGATATTTTATTTTAAACTTTTATCTAAACTCCTTTTTGAAATTCTATTGGATAATTTTGGAAAATTTACAAGAATACTCTAGAAATTTTATTTTTTACCAATCTTAAAAATATCAAAATACCTAATATTTCTTCAAATTCCTTCAAAAGAACTTGGAAAATTTACTGACTCTCTAGAAAATTCACTGCTAATTTTGAAAAACTTAATTTTCTTACCTAATTTTTATCTTTTTTACCTGTTCTTTTTTTGTTATCTATATTATAAAACACTCTATCTATATTATAAACTACTTAAAAAATCTTTTCTATATTTTTATTCTAAGCTATTTACAACTTTAAATATTTTTCTATTATTATTGCTTATAATTTCAAAATAAATCTACAAACTACAATTCAATAAAATTATTTTTTAAACTGATTTAAAAGCTATCTTATTTTAGAAAACTTTTCTTTATCTATATTTATAATATCTGAAATTCAAACATTAGATTTCTTAAAATCAATCCTCAAAGATTTCTATTCTGGTTCAATTATTAATTTTATAACAATTAACAAATCAGTTATAAAAAATAATTTCAACTTATTAATTCAAACTATAGTAATCAAAAAATCTAAATTTATTATAAATATAATCCTAAACAAAAATTCACATATTATTAGAACAACCAAAATACCTTTCAAAATTCTTCTTAGTATAACAAAAAACTGACTTACTAAATTTACTTATATTCTTTTTCATAAAACAAATTACAACAACTCTTTAATACATACTATTTTATTTCTTTTTATCCAATTAAAAAACAATTTCAAATTATTATAAACCTTACCAGACTTTATTTATTTCTAAATAACAAATACTAAACTATTAATCATCAAAAATTCTTTCATGATTTACAACTTAAACCTATTTATTTAAAAATCTTTATATATATAAACCATATTTTAAACATTTTAAAAAACAATATTTCTATTTTACAAATTTATAATATCTCTAAATTCTATATCAATATTACTATAAATATCTTTCTCTAAAAATTTAATATAAACTATTGTATTCTGTCTTTCCATTTAATTATACCACAATTTGACATCTGGTTTCAAAAATTTTTTATATATTACAAAAAACAATTTAGTAATATCAATGAACAAAAAGTTTATAATTATATCAAATATTAAATAATAACAACAACTAATAATAAATATAAAAGCTAATTCTTTAAAAACCTAAACTACCAACTATTTGATTCATTTAAGACCAAATAAACTATGTTACCAAAACAGCAATACATCATATATACACCTACACCAATCTGGAAAAATGTAAAATTCTTAATTCAAAAACAACTCATAATATCTACAATCTAACTTCTTATTATTTTAAATAATTCTTTAACACTATACCTATTTAACAATATATATATTTATCTTTAAATCTTTCTATTTTTACTTTAGCAATCTTCTATATATCTTTATCTTTTAAAAAACTTTATAAACTAGCTGACCAATCTGAACAAATCTTTATTCAACTAAACAATACATCTACTAATCCTAAACATATATTTTATTTCTTTTATTGTTATATTAAAGCTTACTTTAAATCTGTAGCAACAAATAATGAAATTATTAATCTTAATCTTAAAGAAGCATTGAACAAAATCTTTTCTCAAACAAGCAATTTACAAATTCTAATCAGAATTATTGCCTATTATAACATCACTCAAATCTTTAAACCAAATTTACTCAACTTAAAAAAACTTTAACAAGTTATATTTCAATCAAGCAAACCAATATATTATCAAAAAACTTAATATTGTTATACCTACAGTATCAGAAACTAACTTTATCTATACTTTCAATTTATTTAAAATCATTAATAAACTTGATAATAATCTTTTCTTATAGCAATATCTATATATTTCTATTAACTTTTCTTTATCTATTTACCTATTTAATTTATATTACTTATCTTAGTTACACTTTTATGATTCTGTTAACTTTCTTTATCTTTTTGCTTATTCAATTAATATTATTTTTTACTTTTTTAACTATATTTTATTTCTTATTTAATTTATCTTATCTTTGGTTTTTTTTCTTTATAATGATGTAATTAATTTCTGATTATATAAATAGTTAGTGAAATTTATGAGTAGCTTACTAGTATATACTAGAGTAATAAATATTATTTAGAAAATTTTAACTAATCTAGGTAAGCTTTAGCCACTCTAGTAGGTTTAAACTGTAGATAAATATGTCTGAGGTCTTACTCTTGCATATAGCATTTATATTACTTAGAGTTCTAGTTTTATAGTTAGCAGTTTAATGGTTAGCCCTAACTACAAGTATTGGTTTTAGCCATAGCATATATAGAACTTCTTTTTGTATTTAGTAACTCTATATAGTTACTACTTAATAACTATAAATAAAGATAGGATCAAGGCTATACCTTAATATTAAAAAAAAAATAATAATAATAAAATTGATTATAATTTTTACTGTATTTAGTTTTAAGTTTGATAAAAGAAAGCTTAGATAGTTAAAGTATATATGTTATATAAGGTGGTAATATATATAATAAAATGCTATTTTTATAACAAAAATACACTCATATAATTTACATCGTTGTTATAATTATCAAGCATTAAAAGAATAAAATAATTAGAACTAATTAAACTTATAAAATATTCAATATACATTTGAAAAAATTTTTTGTACATATATTCTAATTCAGTAAAACCTAAAATTATATTATATAAAGTATTGTTTAATAAATCAGAAAATTATATAAATATCTTTGTATAAGGAAAATAATTATATTTTTATTATATAATTAAAATAAATTAAAAAACAGATAAGTATTATTTAAATTAATATTTAAACTTTAATTATTACACATATTTTAAAAAATAGATTAAACTGTTTTTTTTTACTATTTCTATCTTTATATATAATTAATAGAGAAATATAATTACTAGTAGTTAAAATTGTTAGTATAACAGAAATATAATTATATAAGTTCTTATATATAATTTTATAAACTTGTTAGAAGTTTTTTTTTGCAAGAATTTTTTTAACTTAAGAAGCTATAATAAAGCTAGTTTTGTTCATGTTTTAAATATAGTTTAAAATAAATAAATTATTTTAAATTATTTTATATAATTTATTAAAGTGATCTTTTATAATAATTAGATTAGCTTTTTGAGCATATGTCTTTGACAAGACTTAAGGCATTTAAAAAGATAAATCAGAATATAATATTTCTATAAGACTAAACTAAACTAAACTTTGGTCAAGTTCAG